CCGTTTGTGCAGTTACACAAGCCTCCAGGCTTCACATGAAGGATCGACCTGAGCTCCCTTTCATTTGTGCCACTGAGGCTTTTAACGGCTCCCCTTTTTGTTTTCATCTTTGAATATTCTTTTTTTTTTTTCTAAAATTGTGTGAAAATGCAATGCATTTCAGCACGCATACATTTCCCTGACATGGTTATATAATACATGTCACAGTCTATTGATGAAGCAATAAAGCTAGCAACAAAAAAAAAAAGCCTAAAAGAGACAGTTATGTTTATAGCTAGGGAAGAAACCCCAGTAACCTCAGACAGCAATTCAGCTCAGAGAAACGCTTGTACAGGCACGCACACTGTGGATACAATGATTGTTCAACGTCACCAACATTATTGGCACAGCAAGAATTTTCATAATCAGTGACTCATTTCTTTAGGCCAAGGACAATGTCCTTTTAGCCAAATGTTTTGACAGGGTAGCTTAACGTAAAATCAGTCAGTGTGACTCAGACCTCATAACACATTTACCTTCTATATGGTGGCAGATTCTGGAGTGAAACACAGTATCAGGGAGGGTTTCTGAGCTACTTTAGTGTATTGTGTATATTTGATGATAGGTATTGTTGGTGGGAGGGCAAAGTGAAACATATTTTATACACTTTTTTAAGTACACCTACCTTGTATACACTCTTTGCCCATTTTATCAGGTCCACTTACCATATAGGTGCACTCTGCACTTCTACAACTACAGACTGTAGTCCATCTGTTTCTCTGCACACTTTGTTAGACCCCTTTCACTTTGTTCTTCGATGGTCAGGACCCCCACAGGACCACCACAGTGCAGGTATTATTTGAGTGGTGGATCATTCTCAGCACTGCAGTAACACAGACGTGGTGGTGGTGTGTTAGTGTGTGTTGTGCTAGTCTGAGTGGATCAGACACAGCAGTGCTGCTGGAATTTTTAAACACCTCAATGTCACTGCTGGACTGATAATAGCCCACCAACCAAAAATATCCAGCCAACAGCGTGTCTCTGTGGTGACCTTGCCGGGGTCCTGATCATTGAAGAACTGGGGGGCTAACAAAGTATGTAGAGTAAGGGATGGACACCAGTAGACTACAGTAGATCTATGAGGTTCACCTATATAGTAAATGGAGCTGATAGAATGAAGTGTAGATACAAAATAGTGTACTTAATAAAGTGGCCAGTCGGTGTAGGTTAATAGTATTTCTCTCTGACTGCTGCTGCACAGTGATTTAATTAAAACTCAGAAGATGCTTTAGAGGCAGACACTTTGATTAAAGATTATGGCAAAACAAGAATTTTGTCTTTTAAATGATTTGATACGTTGAATTGTGTTTAATATGACCAGGGTCAACCTTAATATGACCAGGAATCTAACAAGCTACAAAAGGTCAATTTTTAAATCAGGTTCACCTATAATAAAGGTCAACCTGATTTAAGTGAAATATAAGTTTAAAGTCAAAACCTATTTCCGACTTTTAATTTTCCTGACTTGGACTTCAGACTAAAATCCTTTTGCTTTGAGTGACCCTATACATTAATTATGCTTATTTTATTAAAAAAAAAGTTTAAAAAAAGATTGAGCATTCCATTTTGTCATTAACAAAACAACCATAAAACCGCCAAACTTTGCCGAATACTTTGGTAGTGACAGTTTTAGATCATTTTGAGCGTAACTCAAAATCGCCAGCCAGTGCATGACTAGCAAACACAGCTTTAAACAGCTGTAGACACATAAAGTAACAATATTTTTCATTTAACACAAAATGTTTACTTGATTGCAGAAAATGTGTTTTGGTAGTGACAATTCTAACACACTCATTTTAAGACTTTAGGGCACATTTACTTCTCATTTCCTGCTCTGAAATGCAGGGGTGTGGCTAAAATAAAGCTGTGGCTCCACCCATGGACTAAAACTCTTTGTATTGTGTTGTGTTAGAAAACATGGGACAGTATTTTTTATATTAATAATTTTATATATATTTTTTTTAATTACTAAAATTTTTACATAATTTATTAAACTTTTGATAAATCTAAATCGTTCAACTTCAACACTTCACAAAAACACATTGAAAAAAAACTAAGCTGTATATTCACAAGTTACCCTCGAAGAAATTTTGGGGTTAGGGTTTGGGACAGACACCTCCCAATACAAATTACCCTATAAATGATGATTTTGTATATATTTAGCTTATTACTACCTCTACTGATGCATTAGGTTTAAATAGATCATAACAAAATCATTACAAAAATATGAAAGGTCTGAAAATTTAATTCCTTTGTTAAAAAGCTTTTTTTTTTTTACTGTGGAACTGCAGTTTGAACTGATTCAGTAGAATGGTCCATGTAAGCACATACATTTTCTTTTCTGCATTTAGAAAGAAATCATCAGCTGAAACTGGAAAACAGAGCTTCTTAGAGTGACTCCTATTACCTAAATCCACCTTGCATAAAAGGCCAAATTTAAACACAATCTTTAGTTTATTTAAGTCTGGTAGATGAGCAAATGCAACTTAAATTAACCACTAATTTAACTAATTTCAAGTGATCCAGTCTTACGTCTTTGTTTAAGTGGACAGTCTGAGTCTGGCCAAAATAAAAGCCATCACTAGAATTTGTTGTGAACATGTCCACTTGCATCCTACAGAGGAAAACTCCCTTCTAATGATGATAGAATGAGCTTTACTGAAAAGATTTTCAGTAGTTGGTGACTGCAGAAAGGAAGCTTCTAGAAAGCCCAATATCACATCTGTATTTATTAGCCTTGACATGAGTACATTAGTGGACTTTCTGTTAATGTTGTGGGGGATTCCTAATCTCTGCATTACCCATTTGCATAATGCATGCTGGGTATTGTAGTGAGAGAACACTGATGGACAAAAACGGGAACAAAATTGTGAATTCTGTCAAATTGATGAGGCTGAGAGATGCAATGCTGTACTACAGAGCACTAAATAGCACAACAGAAAATGTATTAAAGGGCCTAAATATTTGAAAAACGGAATTTCCCTTGCATTTTGGAAATAAAGGAGTTCAAAGAAATTAAGCTGCAAAAACAGCCTGTTTTGAATTCGCTGTTTCTGTGATGTCCTAAGAACCAACACATTCACATGTATCCACCGATTCAGCCTCCATTCACCCTGAAATTATAAGGAGCGTTTCAGCTCTCAGTGCACTTTGAATAAGACACCACACAAGACAGCCAATCAGAACAGAGCTCATCTTATATCAGTCTTAAAATAATTTGTTCTAAGGGATAAAGAGAGACTGGAAAATAGTAATGTAGAATTAGTACATAAAACCACACAATGTTATGTGAGGACCTCAAATGGAAAAATACAAGAAAAATGTAGGATATAGGCCCTTTAAATGGCACAAACCCAATTTCAAAAAAGTTGGGATAGCAGGAAAAATATAAATAAAAACAGACAGAAATTTAATTGAAAACAGAACAAAAAAAATATTTTATATTTCAACTAATTAACTTTATTATTTTTGTATATATAGACTTATTCTAATGTTGATGGCTGTAACATGTTCCAAAAGAGGTACATGGACAGGTGCATGTTTACAGCTGTATTACATCACCTTTACCTCTAGCAATTTTCATTAATCCTTTGGTAACTGAGGACACCAAGTGTTGTAGTTGGAAGGTGGATTTTTTCCCCATTGTTACTGGATATAACACTTCAGCTGCTCCACACTCTGAGTTTTGTTGCTGTATATTGCGCTTCATAACATTTTCAGTGGGAGACAGATCTGGACTGCAGGCAGGCTGGGCTAGCACCTACACTCTCTTACTATGAAGTCATGCTGTTGTAACACATGTAGAATGCATAGTCTTGCTGAAACAAGTAGGGACATCCCTGAAAAAGACATTGCCTAAATGGTAGCATATGTTGCTCCATAAAGTGTATATACAATGTCAGCATTAATAGTGTCTTCACAGATGTGCAAGTTACTCATGCCATTGGCTCTAACACTTCCACATACCATGACAGCTGCTGGCTTTTGAACTTTGCGTTGGAAACAGTCTGGACGGCGCTTTTCCTCTTTGGCCCCCAGAACTTGACTCCCATTGTTTCCAAAAACAATATGAAAGGTGGCCTCGTTAGACCACAGTGCACATTTCCACTTTGCGTCAGTCCATCTCAGAAAAGCTTTAGCCCAGAGAAGTCGGCGGTGTTTCCTGATGTTGTTGATATATGGCTTCTGCTTTATGTAGTAGAGTCTAAACTCATATTTGTAGATGCAGTGATGAACTGTGTTTGCTGACAAGTATTCTTGAGCCAGTATGGTTATACTGAGAACAGAATGACACAGCATGTCAGTTTTTATTGCCGTGCCATCTGAGGATTCAAAGGTTACGGGCATTCAGTACTGTTTTTCAGCCTTGCCCTTTATGCACAGAGATTTCTTTGGATTTTCCGAATCGTTTAGTAATGTTATGGACTGGTATAGATGGTGAAATCCCTAAATTCCTTGCAATTGTGCATTGAGAAACATTACTTAAATTATTGGACTATTTGCTCACGCAGTTTTTCACAAAGTGGCAAAAATCATTAAAGCTGATAAGGTAAAATATTACTGTTTTCAATTAAATATCATTTGAATAGGCCTTCATTGTTCAAGAAACATTAAAATAAACAAATAAAATAAAAGATTTTTGGACACACACTCACGCACACACACACACACAGACAGTGTAATGGGGTTTCTTTACTGAAGCATGCATGTGTAGACTGTTAATGGCTTGTACATCACACTGCCCTTCACCTCTTCTCCGAATACCCTACAAATCTGAAACTAATCATAAAATCGATCTCTCGTTGAGCTCGTGTGCGCCACCAGTGTAATTTCATTTGCCACCCATTCGTTTTGTTTTCACACTGGGTAACCGTATCGTACCTTCATTTTAGAAATTAACTTTCCATTCAAAACAATCAATAACTGTAAAGTGTGTTTGTGTGTGTGGTGTGTAATTGCAGGTCATGGCACATGTGACTGCGGTAAGTGCATATGTGATGAGGGCTGGTTTGGAGAGGCCTGTCAGTACCAGAAGAACTGCAAGCTCTCTAGCCGAAAGAGCAAAGACCTGTGCCGCAACGCTCAGGGAGTGGTGTGCTCCAACGCAGGTGAGATTTCACAGAACATCTAACATGGGCAATATGCAAAGATGTGACTGAATATGTTACAAATAAATGATTGTGTGTAGCTTCACTGTGCATGTTTTTTTTCTCATGCTTATGAACAGCGCTCATATGAAAAGAAAGCCTACTGTCGGTTTCAGTCTTCAACAGTTGTGAGGGAAGCAGTGGGGGTACATAGTACAGTTAAGGCTTGGCTTCCCAAGTGGCACTACTCTCTAAACACTGGCCCTTTTGTCAAAAGGTTGTGAGTTTGATCCCTGTCAATGCTTAGCCATCTGTAATCCAAATGATATTGCTCTCTCCAGGTGGTCCTCTCTTTCCCCCCATCAGCTAATACAGGTGTCTGTTAACTGACGCAGTAGCCAGTTCTCTCCCAAGCACAATGAGTGGCAGCGTAAAAAGATACAATGACAGGGGGAGACCTAGGTAGTGGGTGGGAACTGGCCATGACAGAATTGGAGATAAAATTACATAAAAAACATACAAACAAAAAAGTTGTTGTTTATTATATTTTCTTGACCAATCAATAATTATTAGGTTAATATAAGTTAAGCTCATAGCTAGAAAAACATTCCTAGTATGAATGTCCATGTCCATTTCTGGTTCAGATACAGATAAGCAGGATTTAGGATGTCTTCACTGTTAAATTACTAGATTCATAAATCCAAAAAAGCTGCAGTATGTAGTGATGGTGTTGGCTTGTGTAATTCCACTGCAGTGCCTTTTCAAAATGAACACTCAGAGATGCATTTCTGTTTAAAGTATGTTTAGATTATTGTACACTTTTATTATTGATGTGTGAAACATCCCTTTGTCTGTTATTGGATTGACCCCAGGGTGGACCATATACTTCTGTTTATATATGTTTATAGATGTAGAAATGTTCTTGAAGACGGTGATGGTGAATGTGCCACAGTCAGTAGATATTTTCACATTATGCTGCAACATACTGACAAGCCCAGTGAACTCCTGTGTGTAATTAAACTGACCTTGTCCAGCACTCTTAACCCTGACCTGCCCTAAAGCCATGAAGCTGAAGGTGTGATGTGCAGCAGGGGGTGAGGACCCAGCTGGTGAACACATGTGCGCAGTGCTGGAGCCTGTGTCTGGGTTTTATTTCAGTGTGTTTGGGTGAATGTATGCTCTCATGCCTGCAGGGAGAATTTATATGAACTCACAGTGAGTGATACACGGGAAGGATCATTCTGGGCTGAGACCAAAACCAAAGCTATAATTCAGGACACACAGGGTTGAAAAAGAAAAATATAAATAATAAATAATATTATTTCATTTATGATTTTGAATCAAAAATACAAAACCTACAAGGTAATAAAACATGCTATTATTATTAAAAAGTCAGTCTTTTCTAAGGGGGGTATGGTCAACATTCCTTTTTAACACAAGCCCGACAAAAAAAGATGTTAAAAGTTGTTTCTTGTCTGAATTTCTACAAGGTTGAAGTTGGTTTCTTATTCGGCAGCTTTTTGTTCAAATGTTATATTCCACCTTAAATGGGGCAGCAGTTATATGCTGTTACCTGTACACATGCCTTAATGTAACAGCTGCACCAATTAAGGTGGAACTGGAAATTCGAATAAGAAACCCACTTGAATTTCTTAAGTCATTTGTCTCATATTTGCGTTCCATATACTAGTGTCTCCAGCTATCAGACGCTGCTGGAGTGTGGACAATGTTACAGCAATTCATGCTATCAGTACCAGCTGATCCATGGCTTATTTTGCGCAAAAGGCCCAGAGACTGTGACCTCTTCTGATGCAGCTGGCCAAGTTAGTCAGCTTCTCAGGTGGTGCTAGAGGAAACAGAAGTATGGAGGCTAAGGCAAACCCCAAAATCCACCCATTTCTTTATATCTGATTCCTTGAAAACAAAGTGGAAGGTGAAGTTGGGTGCAAAGGACTAGACAGCAGGAGGAGATCAAGGGTCTGCTGCATTTCTCTCTTCATGACTGAAACATGACTGACACATCCCTTACTCAGCCGTTCAGCTAAACTGAGAAAGAGTTTCAAACTTTTTCTATTTCGCACAAAAAACCTGTTCCACTACTACTTTTAGTGGAACATTACTCTGAGTTACTGAGGACCATGAACAGTTACAGTGAGTTGCTATTTAATGGCTCGTGTTTACAAAAGCAAACAACATAATTTTAACATTGATTTATTTTTTTACCACTGAAATGATGTGTAAAGTGTTGTATTCACAATTTGCTGTTGGTTTAATCCTAAACATGTAAATATCAACTTATAAGATGAATATAAACTTGAAATATTAATAAATGTTTTCAGACAAATTTTTCAACATTTTGACTCTTTTATACAAAAATGTCTATGCTAAAAGTTTGGAATCATGTGTCGTATTAATAATTGTTATGATATTCAATAAAAATTGATATTGGGTAGAGTGAAATACTATAGATGTTATATTGCTCTAGATGTTTTATTCAATTCAAGCTTTTAGGCACATCTACAAATTATTGAATGCTAAATAATACACTGTAAAAATCTTGATAATTATCTGTCTCCAGATTTGAACAACACTTTTCAAATCCAAGGCATTTTGTGATAACTTTATTCTAAAATTCTTATACAGCTTTCTCAGTTATTATGGAATCATCTACAGCTCTGTTCATCATTCTATTCACAGTTAACATTTCATTTTCTTAAGTTTCTTATATATTAGTTAGAATTACTAAAGCAGCCGAGTATTAACATCATAACAGATTGTACACACTTATATGCCGTTGAATTACATTTATATTATTAAAAACAGTGATTCCAAACTTTTGAACAGTAATAGAAGTCTCATTATCATTGAAATGATTTGTAAAGTGTTATATTTTGACACTTTATTTAGGGCCATACTGACGTAACTCTACTACCTTTTGACCCCTAGACCCTTTTAAAAATCTACACACTCATCATGAAAGAGAAATAGAGAAGTGTTGATTTCCAAAAACATATGTAAAGCCTTTTAACACTGGCATACATTAAAATAAAAGAGCCTAGTTTGTTTTTCAGCTCAGAGTTCTAAGGTTTAGGTTAAGTTTAATGAACACAGGTGAGGGTTGGCTAATGGTAGCTAGCTATGGTTGTGATTGTATGCAGTCTTCTGCAAGGTTAAACTGGGATTTAGGAGGTGGGGGTGCCAACAATATGGGAGCACTCTTGTTCAGTTTAGTCTATATATTTATGATTGATTCCTCAGCATTTAAAAAGGGTACTGAAACTAGCTTTCTATATCTGTTTGCTGTATTACTAGTTTGTCAGCTTTGGCAAAACAGTAAAAGTGCAGTGATTGTTTGTTGGTTTCATTTATCCCATTAAATAGTTTCATTAGTTTCACAAATAATGAATTATAAATATTCCGCTTGCTCCTCACATAAATGCCTCCACAAGCCCCAGCCCAATTTATCCTCAGTCTAAAACAACACGTCCTGCAGTACTGCTAATAATTTAAAATAACAGATCTCCATCAACATCAGTATATTTCCAGTTGCTTTTACTAAAACTCTATTGGCAAAAATCCACCAGGGGTCCACTGGGTTTAAGGAATGATTAAGTGAAAAATCAGATCTACACAACTTTCCACTCACCCCAGATGTAGTTAATCAGTCTAAGCATGTTTGCAGTCCAAATTTAGCATCTTTAGTTTACTGCTAGAACTACAAGGCTAATGTTGCTAACAAACACTAGAAGTCAATAGTCACCCAACAGGTGTTGTCTACAACAGCTGTTCAGCTACACAGTGGAGTTCTGATCAGTTTTACAATTCACAGTAATTCATAATGTGTCCTGAACAACATCTGCAAGCCTGCACAGTCTTAACGAAGACCAGGATGCGCTTTGAGAGATGTTTTTGGGGTGTATTTATGGAAAAGATTTGGATGACTATTGACTTCTAGTATTTGTTCCAGCGTGAAACTAAAGAACAATATTTGGACACCAAACAGGTCTTGGCTGAATGACTACACCTGGGGTAAGTGGAAAATTGTGTAAATTTGATTTTTCGCCAGTGTGTTCTCTTCATACAGCCCCAGGCCCATTTTATTTTACATTGAATGAAAACAGTATAACTTTTTCTAGTTTTTGTCAGCCAGACTTGGGGTGCATACTTTGAACTATTCAGGTATTTGTGTATTTGTATGTGTGTGCTGAGTGGTATGTGGTACTGAAGGTTGACAACCTATATTACAGTCATCTTCTTTTGTGCTTGTGGCCAACAGGAAAGTGTCACTGTGGCAGCTGCATGTGCCACAACCCAGACGGCAAAGGCCTCATCAGCGGCCGCCACTGCGAGTGTGACGACAGCCAGTGCCTGGACGAGGACTCGGGAGAGGTGTGTGGAGGTACGCCTTTCTAACCGCTCGCTCTTAATACCACAGCATGAAACCACATTCAGCTTTACAGTGCCTGTAAGTCTCATTGCGAGGCTTTTTTTTCTGCTGGAAAGTTAAATGTTTAATTTTAGTGGCATCAGATGGCATTACACTGTTGGGGCTTATTTTTAAACCCTGACTCACTCACTGTGCATGAAACCTAATTTGGTGCAGATGCTTAAATATCAATTTGGTCTTGAAAGCATATTGTAAAAATAAGATGAAACATTAATGAAACATGATACAGTATAGTAGGGCAGTGATGTTACCAAGCGTAGAGCATGGAATATCTAAAATCCTTGCACACGCTCTTTGAGGAGCATTGTTCTTAACCTGTTGGATTATCTGATGAAAGTGCTACATGGATCGCTTTCAGGCAGAGTGATGAGCTTAAACCCATCCTTGCTCATAAAGAACTATGCCTTTCTGGATGCTCTTTTTATACCAAAGCATGATTTTTAATGATGTTTAAGATGTTTATCACTATTTCATCACTTCCTAGTTTTATGTTGCCTGTGTTCCAACCTTTTTGGAATGTCTTGCAGGTATCAGTTTCAGAATGAATGTTGGTAAAACATTAAAATACCTCATCTTTGTACTGTTAAAATACAGGTCAGAGGGGTTTCGCAAATCACTGCTTTTTCTGTTTTTATTTACATTTCACATACTGTCCACACTTTTTTTGGAATTCAGGCGTGTAGATGATGAGTTGAAGGAAGTACAAACTACTATATATGTATAATTGCTGTGAACCCCTTGAAATCCCAGGCTTATTACATACCATCGCTTATTGTTCAGTAACTACAGGGACTTCAGTGCAAACTGGCTGAGCTATTCTTAGGTTATAGAAGTGTGAAATAAAACTTTGGGCCCACCGGCAGGCCCTGGCCATGTAAGGGCTAACCAGCTAATCTTGTATGAGGGCAGAACAGCACTTTTTTTGCCAAGGTTAAGCGTTACATTATAGAGGTACACTCACTATAGCATAAAACTACTCCACACTTCAAGGTGGTGGGCACCTTATAGAGCACCCCCAGAGGAACTGCACCCCCAGCTGGTCCACTTTAATCAACTAGCCTGTAATTTCATTTGAGAAATGCACATCATATCTTTTGCTACTAAGGCTTTATAGGGAATAAAGTCATTAAATTGCTTTGAAGCTTTCAATTAGTAGAGGCTGAATGTTTCCCCTATAACTACATTTAAATGACTGGATAGCGCACAGAATGCCACAGCCATATTTCCTCTGTGGCGGCAAGCGATAATGCAATAGAGCCGTGCAACTCTAACACTCGACTGGCTGTCGTCTGTTCTCTCTCCTGCCGTTTTTGGTTGCAGGCCATGGAAAGTGTTACTGTGGAAACTGTTACTGCTCGGCCGGTTGGCATGGAGATAAATGTGAATTCCAGTGTGACATCAGCCCATGGGAAAGCAAGCGGAGATGCACATCTCCAGATGGCAAGATCTGCAGTAACAGAGGTGTGTTCTCTTTTTTTATTCCTCAAGCAGAGCTTCTTCCACCATTCTTATTTTGATAAAGTAGCTAACAGAGGTGCTATTACAATGATTCTGCAATGTTATTGCAGGGTTTACAATAGAGGGGGTTTTCCTGAGCGGAGCTGTGTATGGCTCAATGCCTCACTCCAGCCTCTTACGGCATAAGTAACTTCTACTGACAAGTATAGATGAGAACGGGACACCTTTTGGCTCCATTCCCAGGCTATCGCTGGGAAGGGAGGAGAAAAGTATTCCTTAGCGCTGGACGGAAAAAGGATCTTCCAGGGAGTCACTTTGAAATTGATTACAGCACACGAGTGAAGGACTTAGTAAGTGGTACACGGTCTGTGCTTCACCACATAGCTGAATTGCTAGCCGTGGTCAAGTGCTGTGCCCACAGCCCGTAAGTGTGGTCAGATATGACTACAATACCACTCAATACCAAGTGTGATGTGGATCAATAATGATTAGAAAAATAACAACACATTTATTTATATAGCATCAGTAATGATCGAGGCATTGAGGCAGGACATATGTGCTGTGCGGCTGTAATAGGGGCCATACAACACTTGTAGTCCTCACAGGCACGGGTCAGTACACATGCAGGCTTTGTTTCTACGCTCATTGTCCATTTTATCCGCTCCACTTACTATATAGGTGCACTTTGTAGTTCTACAGTTACAGACTGTAGTCCATCTGTTTCTCTGCATACTTTGTTAGCCCGCTTTTACCCTGTTCTTCAGTGGTCAGGACCCCCATGGACCCTCACAGAGCAGGTACTATTTGGGTGGTGAATCATTCTCAGCACTGCAGTAACACTGATGTGGTGGTGGTGTGTTAGTGTGTGTTGTGCTGGTCTGAGTGGATCAGACACAGCAGGACTACAGTCTGTACTTGTAGAACTACAAAGTGCACCTATATAGTAAGTGGAGCTGATAAAATGGACATTGAGCGTAGAAACAAGGAGATGGTCATAATGTAATGCCTGATCGGTGTATAGCTGTAGGAAAAAAAAACGAACAGCAGTGACTGCTGGAAAAAAATACAAGGATGATTAAAAAAAAAAAACTATAGGACTTTATAGCAAGACAATAAATAAATAAAAACATTAAAAACTGTTGCGTGCAACTTAGATTATTTTTTATTGCTCAGTGTAACTATCAAGTTGCATGGAAATTATGTTGCAGGCAACTCACATGCAACATGCAGTTAGTTTCATGAAAATTTTACAAGCTTTAAAGTAGGTGATTCCACTAATCAGAGGGATGTCTAGAAACTTATGAATTTAACATGTGGCTGTTCTAAAAAGTTGATACCTAAACAAATGCCCAAACAAAATTTATTTACTTTAGGCCATAGCTTACCAAGTACTATGCATCAGTCCATCATTTTCAGTAGTAGTAGCCACAGTGAGGAATAAATATCTTTGGCCTGATGGTGTTTTCAGGCTGTTTAGTGAAGCTCCATATGACATGATATGGTGCACAATGTCCCTGACTCAACAAATAATCATACTGTACATAGAGAAAGGGTCACAACACACACATACCTGCTCCTTTTATCTCTGTATGGATGCATTGGTTCCCCTCTGGAGTATTCTGGATACTGACAGCCATTCCAAATGGATTCTGACAGGTATTCTTCTGCAAAATGTTTTGAGCAGGGTTTATGTAATGCCTGTGGCGCCTTACTAATCAGTGAGATTGTGTTGAGGGAGAAGCACTCTCTCTCTCTCTCTCTTTTCTTTCTCTCTTTCTCTCTCAGAGCTGCAGGTATCCCTGCCAGCTGGAAAGGCCAGACTCAAGCAAACAGATCAGAGCAGTGGGAGGGAGGTCAGGTTGTTCAGACCACAAGAGGGGAGAGGTGCTCACTAATTCAGAAAGATTTCACACTGATTTTGCATCTGCTTTCTTAAAGGTGATCCTGTGAAAAAACCCTAGAGAATAAACATGACACCTCATTCCAGGAATGCTATTCAAGGCTCCATGTTCGCTTTAGTGTGAATAAAAGATACAACGATTATCTCAGGGATGAAAGAGAGAGAGAGAGAGAGAGAGAGAGAGAGACAGAGAGAGAGAGAGAGAGAGAAAAAAGAGTGAGAGAGTGCTTAGCGGTAATGACCTCTTGGTGCACACTTCTTGCTATAATGATTATGACCTCTTAAAAGACTTCTTAAAGACTTCTCCAGCATTCATATTCAAATACAAATTCAACTCTTTATATATGCAGGGAAGCCCAGCTGGGACTGAGGCTTCAGTGAACGCTCTCAGTGAGCAGGAGAATCTAAAATATATCTCGACCTACTGAAGTGTAACAAATAGTGTAATTCTTTTTTGGATTCTTGCCCAGCTATCTCCCCAGTGTTAGACACTGGCAGTTCCCACTCACTGTCTGAATTTTCTTTTATGGTACAGCGCCAACCAATCTGAGCATGAGAAGCCAAGCACAAGCTTCCTCCAAGACACTTGAAGCTGACCACCACATCTTTTCAAAGGCGCTTGAAGGAGGGTCATGCATTCTTAAAATTTCTTGCTTGTTGGCTTGAAAGTATGGTTCCAGGAACAGCCTTTAATGTCAGCCTTTAAGTCAGAGACCACCCTTCACTTACCATTTCCATGCAAAACAGCCATTAAGTACAAGTTATCCATTTCTCAGTGTGAGGAAAAAAGCAGATGTACTTAACAGATACTAACACTGTAACGTAACAGATCCAGCCAGACACTCGCGGTAAAAAGAAATGAGGCTTTACCTTTACAGGGTTTGATGAGACTCATAATTGATGAACAGGCATGGGGCAAATCCAAAAGGGCAAAAAGACAAAAAAGCAAACACAACAAAGGAAACCAGATCCAAAAGGGCAAAGACAAAAAGTCCAAAAATCCAGCAACAAGGTCTAAAACATGAGAAGGACAAACACAGGCAAATAGGAAAAACTCAGTAGTTCTACAAGGAGAAACAAAACCTCGCAACTCATCTAATCTAAAGCATGGGCTTTTGGACTAAACTGAACTGGTTATATGACACATGACACAGGTGCAACCTATCAGTATTCAGGTGATTGTGAGCAGTGATAGAAGGATTGAGAAGTTCATTGGTCATTTGATCTCCCTTGGGATTCTGGGAAATGGAGTCTAGGTATGAGTCAGAGGGCTGCATGACAAACACAGAAATCTCAAAATCTGTTGTTAGTGTGTCCACACTTTGCCTTCGTTACAGCTTGTTACAGCATTGTTTTCAGGACTCTTGCTTATGTGAAGTTTCCTTATACTTTAAAAATGTTCTTCACACAGGTAGATCTCATTTACAGTAATAATTCTTTAAAGAACCGTCTACAGTAATGTTCTTTAGGGAACTAAAAGAGGTTCTTCTATGGCATCATGTCATTTGTAAGAGTATAGGGTAGCTGAATGTGCACACTGCCTGATTCTGTGGCTGATGTAAATCATTGGCATGCACTGCACTAAGCCACACTTTCCATCCAGAGAACACAACCAATGGTGCTCTCTCGAATGGCTTTGGCAATGTCAGGTTTCCAGCTCTATTCCTGGCAATAGAATGCAACACTCTGCCAGTTGCACCCCTCCGAAAGCCCAAACAAATACCATAATCCTCTGACTATATGGAATCCAAATATGGATCACAAACCAAACTCTAAAACTTTGCCTCACCATTTGAAACTGCACAGCAGTTATGTTATATAACTGGCCACTGGACAAGGGGAGGATACCACAAGGAGCAGAGTTTTCAGTAGGAAAGTCCTTGCTGTCAGCTGTGCAAGCCACCCTGAGCTAATCACCTAGCTAAGCAAACGCTAGATTGTAAAGCACTGTTTGAGAAGTTTGAGTGTACTTAAATTTTGTGAATAGTTGTTTGTCCAGCTTAAGCTTTGGGTTTAGCATGAGAACCGTTCTGTACTGCCCGTCTTTTTGTTGTTGCTAGAGTGGTTATTAACTTAGCTTACTAGCAATCTAGAAAAGTAAAGTAGATGCATCAGCAGTCATCTACAACAGATTGAGTAGTTTGTTACATAAGGCTCATTCTGAAAACCGCAAATTGAATGTTATAGTTTTTAAATATTAATCATTTTAAAACATTTTATTGGTCTGGCTTTTAAACAGCTTTTTCTGTCCTTTTTTCCATGTTTGAAAAGCAAGTTCCATTAGATCTCAGTGATTTCTGGACAAGCTGTACTGCTGAAGTCACTTGTGTTGACATCCAAGGGGCCATTTAACAAACTTCACTTGAGCCACTATAAAGGAACAGCCCTTAAATGGCATCAGGAATTGTTCTAAAGGGGAAAAAATGAGATTAAGGGTGTGTTACAAACAGTATTGAAAGAAATGGTGGTTTGCAGTGGGAAAGAAATAATATCTGTATAAACATGAAGAGAGATGTAAGGTAGCCCTTTTCTGCACAAGACCTGCTCAAACTTTACTACAATTCTCCACATAGACAGAGCCAGCTCACTTTTTATCTCCAGCTTATCACCTTCAGGGGTTACCAGTAACATATCTGACATCATTTAGGCATACAGGTCTTAGATTAGTTGGTAAGCTAATCGTATATGTACTATATGTCTCATGTTTCTTCTGAAGTCACAGGTATTAATAGTGAGTTTGACCTCCCCTTTTGCTGCAGTAACGGTCTCTACGCTTCTGGGAAGGCTTCACACTAGATGTTGGAACATTGCTGTGAAGATTTGGTTGTTTTCAGCCACACAAGCATTAGTGAGGTCAGGTACTGATGTTAAATGATGAGTTCTTGATCACAAATGCCACTCCAACTCATTCCAAAAGCACTTGAAGGAGCTCCATAATGCGCTTCCACTGACCTAAGCTGGGGGCTGTATACCCCTCTAGCTAAAGCAGTGGCACTGGGCACCGTGACCTTAGGCTGCTCCAGGGCTTTTCTATAAAGATCTGATCTGGAGATCAGTAATATGTGCACTTTAAACTGGCTGAATTTGGACATATTGTGTATTTTTAGTATGCTAAATAGCATTAAATGTGTGTTGAAATAAAAGCTTACCACATATAATAATTCATCACAAAAGAAGAAGCAACAATTGAAACTTTCATTCTCTTATCTAGCGCTGCATTCCAACTCGTCTAAGACCGGTTTGAATAGAACTCAAACTCAGATGTATTGGAGATGTAGAGTGCAGGCTCCCTGCTTTAAAGAGTGGAGCTTCTAAAAACAGCTCAATGCTCTAAACAGACAAAGGAGAAATAGGATGAAGGTGGTGCTCTTCAAGAGAACACACGTTTGTTTGTTTCAGTGTGCATAGCAATACTGAAGCGTTTCATCACTCTCCACCCTCTTCAGTGTTCTGTATTCCGTTTCCAGCCTTCAATTACCCATTCTGCTATGCAATTGACTGCTCTCAGTGGATCACTGCTATCTTGTTAAATGCCAACATCACTTTCACATTTAGCCAGCCAACCTCTCAATCCCAGAAATAGCTTGCCATTCAAATGGAAAACGTAAGCGTCCAAGGCTTCACATTAATATCAGTTTTGAACAATTACATGTGGTTGGGTGTAAGACTTTGTAAAAGCTTCACTAAAAAGGCAAAACATATGTGATATGAAAAAGATAGACAGTGTACTTTATAAATCACATCCAGAATAAGCGTGTAAGTACACTGTCTGAGTACAGTCGACATCAATCAGGATTCACAACACATTTCCCTTTCATACCGCAGTGTATTTCTGAGTGAAACGTGATATTAGGGAGGGTCTCTGAGCTGGCTTTGCATGTGAATATGGTGATCATAAATATGTTTTTGAGGTGTGCAAAAGTCACTACACTTTGATCAAAGACTGTGATCAAACAATTTTGTTTTGTTGCCTCTTTCTGCAGGCCCCCTAGTGGCCATTTCACCAGCAGAATGAAAAAAATCGACTTTTCATTAAGAAAATTAAATAAAATAGTTTCCCGCGTAATTGTTATCAGATTAACTAGTATACCTTTGGCTCTCTGTGTGTGAAATGTTGTGACTCTGTGTTGAGCTGCTAGAGAGGAATGAGGGGTGACATTGGAATGTTGAGAACCCCCCGCTGTGAAAACAATCACACTTCTTATTAAAGACGGCCGTGCCAAGATGTAATGTGCAGCACAACTGAAGCTTTCATCATATAAAACAATTTTACACAACTGCCACAATAAAAAATAGATTCAAACACTATTTTTTTTTATAAATGCTGACTTGCTTGTTCACCTACAATGAGGAAAATTTAGTTTTCTTCCAGTTTAGTTAATCATATATATTTTCATCATACAAATATATTCCATCAATGTTTTCGAAAAAAAAATGTATAGCTCAACTTTTGGATGTTCAAAGCAGACAGAAATGGTCTTTTACATATTCTTTATTCAGCTATTTAATCTTAAGATGTCTTGTTCAGTAAAAACTATAAATCATTCGCTAATAAGATAGGCATGCATTTTGTATTTACATTATATTTACATTACATTTTATGAGTTTGATACAGTCTCCTCTGTTTGAACAGCAAGGCCAATTCTTTTGTTTATGCTATACACAGAGGACATTTGGGTTTGAGATTAAGAGGTGCATATGAGACAACACATCAGAATTTCAGCTTTTATTTGCTGATATTTACATATAGATGTGTTAAAGTAAGTCTTAAAGTAAATTAAAGTAAATAGTACTTTTTGTTTGGTTGCATATTCCTTGCGTGCAATAACAGCATTAAGCCGGTGACCCACTGACATCACCAGACTGTTGCATTCTTCTGTTGTGATCCTTTCCAGGCTTTTACAGCAGCTCCCTTCTGTCTCCTCTTCAATAGGTGAAATGCATCCTCTATTGGGTTAAGGTTTGGTGATTGACTTAGCGAGTCAGAAACCTTCCACTTTTTTCCAATGTTGAAGTCCTTTGTCGTGTTGGCAGTATGTTTTGGCCCCTCCTGCTTAAATTGGAGTAATTTCTCTGTAAATTGCCAGACAGAAGGTTTCTGTAGACTTCTGAACTCATTCTGCTGCCACCTTCATGAGTTACATTATCAATTAAGATTAGTGAACCCATTCCAGAAGCAAATATGCAATATGCAAGCCCAAGCCATGACACTACCTCCAGCATGCTTGACCAATGTTGCTCGTATGTTTTAGATCATGAGCAGATCCTTTATTTTGGCACAGTTTGGCCTTGCCACCACATTGGTAGAGGTTAAACTTGGTCTCATCTGTCCACAAAACTTTTACCTCTGCCCTATGGCCCTACACCTGTCAGTCACATGTTCCAATATTTATGCTCACTTAAAAAATGGGAGGGTTCAAATAAACAGTGCCATGTTCTACATTGCCACGAAATATCAGGAAATAAAAGCTGAAATTCTGATCTATCATCTAATATTCTTTTTTTGATCTCAAAATTATGCCAAAATAAGGTGGCATTCATTGTGTCTTCTAAACAAGAAATGAGATTAATTCATAAGTAAAGAAAGAAATCAAACTACATAAGCATACATTGCATCAAAGCTCCATGCAGGTCGGGCCTGTGACAGGTTTGGGGCTGGTGGTAGCAGCAGCAGTGTGAGGAGGCTGCCAGTTGGCACAGCTCCCTGTGTGCTCTCCCCACGCTGGAGCAGATAAGAGAAAATGGGATTTCCACAAGCACAGCTTGTGTTGCTGGCCTGGCTCGGGTGCGTCAGAGTGGAGGTGCTTCCCCTGGCTCTGTCCCCGGCGCTGCAACCTAGCAGCTCAGTCTGAGAGTAGGTGTTCTTGTCAGGCTCTCTCCATGCATGCTCTGTTTACTGTTAGCTGGAGCCACTCCAGAGCATCCAAAGCCTGGGGAGAAGCCGCCTCTCACCTTCACCAACACTTCAATTATGGTGACATCTTTCAGGCAGCAAGCCCTAATACAGTTGCTCAAAAGTCCATGCTGCCTATATATGAAAATTAAGCTGCAAAAGCAGCCTGTTTTAAGTTTACAGTTTTTGTGACACGACAAAGTCTATGCATTTACATATATCCACGTATGTAGCCTACAGCGGTTTAGCACCACCCTTTCATGCTGAAGTTATAAGGAGTGTTGCTATCCAGATCTCTTTTTCTATAAAGCACAATACAGGGCAGCCAATCAGAATAGAGATCATTTACATATATCAGTCCTATAAGTTCAGTAAGAAAACTTTATTCATGTTTGGTTATGAAGGTTGCTTCTGTAGTTTTGTATCAAAGCTCTAAGGCTAATATAATTAACACGTAGGCTAATTGAAGCTTGTTCTCATTCTTTGGCATCATACAAATAGTATACCTAAAGCTTCACACACTTACCTTAATCCACATGAAGGTGTAAAGGCAAAATGATACTGTTATCTATAAAAATGAACAGTATTCCAGCTTCAAGATACTACTACTGTTTTTAGCCATGCTATGTCTTTTTATCAATTTTTATAGATAATAGCATGTTGTACAGCATCAGATACCACATAAGCAAGTCTGTTTGTCTTTAACAACATAATACAGTTTGAGGCAAGTATGTTATTATTTAGGCATGCAGTTTATATGACGATAATTGGTGTGGTACATTTGTGGTCCTGGGAAAGTAGCAAATTTTGTTCGTGGGAAAGTGACACTAAGCAAAACAGCACATGTCTGTTGGGTTTGGTTTAGTTGAGCTAACTAAAGCTGACCTCCCTTTGTGATTTGTCTTGCTAGGGACCTGTATATGTGGAGAATGTACCTGCTATGATGTAGACCCATCAGGCGACTGGGGTGACATCCATGGAGACACCTGCGAGTGCGACGAGAGGAGCTGCCATGCAACATATGACAGATACTCCGATGATTTCTGCTCTGGTAAAACAGCTGCTTTACGTTACCTTTACTTCCTTACACCTTTTAACTCTTTTCTGATTGTTTAGTAGAAAATCAAACTTGCACTTTTTAATTTTAATACCAAACATAGTCAATCAGCCAAGAAATGGATCCGGAAGTTCGCTTCTTTAGTTTTGCATTGGAGCTACAAGGTGAATGTAGCTAACAAGGAATGTAAGCTTTTGTACATCAAATAGCATCATGCAAACTGCACGTCTAAATCATTACACATGCACCTAAAACCATGTAGAATTGTTAAGTAATGATGTGCATGCATGCAGAGGGGAGTCAGATTTGGTGGGAGATCCAGAATTTGTTACAATACCTGTTGTCTACATAGCTGCCCTCAGCATTCAGCTACACTGTGAAGTTTTGTTCATTGTTATAGTTTACAGTAGTCATACTGCGCTCTGCAACCTCAATGACATATATTTATGGAAAGGATTAAGGTGACTATTGGTTTCTAGTGCTTGATAACGACGTTAGCCTTGTAGCTCCAGCAATAAACTAAAGAAGCAAATTTTGGACACCAAACATGTCTTAGCTGATCGGCTGCATCTGGAGTACGTGGAAAATTGTATAAATTTGATTTCTTGCTGAACTGTTCCTTTAATTTGTTTTTATTGCTGTAGCATGTGATGTGGCCAAAATATCTTGTGGTTTAGTAAGTCAATATTATTATGGTTTGTACATGTACCCTGATTGTAGTCCAGCGGTGGAAATGCTGACTTAGCTGAAGCATTCTGGGTGGAACTGTGTGCTGTCCTCACGACACTCCCCCCACCCATATTTCCCCTTTAGCAAACACAGACCTGCCAGATTAGCCTGAGCTCACGAACATAAGGCAAACACGAAACACACACGGACATCTGTTTCTAATACTGAGGAATAACTCAGTGGCCAGGACTGTATGTGCTTGTTGGAATGGCTTTTTTGCCCAGCCAGGGAAGTGCACTTTCAGAGCATTCTTTTGTTCATTCTCAGGCCACTGGAGCTTTGCATTAGCACTGAACTCGCCTCGTTAGTTGTGTTTTTCAAAAACACATGCACACCCACGCATTCAGAGACACACAAACACACCCACACACAGCGGGATTATCTGTGCCAGTCTCCACAGCAGCTTCAGGCACAGTTTAAGCTGATCCCTCATCCTTTGAGGACACTAAATCCTGCTCTGTGTTGTTTTCCCTTTTTTTCTTCCCATTTCTGAAGGTCACGGTCAGTGTAACTGTGGGAGGTGTGACTGTAAAGAGGGATGGACAGGCAAGAAGTGCGAGCATCCTCTCTCCTGCTCCATTTCTGCAGAGGCCAGTCTGAAGAAGTGCAGGGGAAGCTCCAACCTGCCATGTTTTGGAAGAGGTAAATCAAATGAATTCACTGCCTGTTCAAACTGGAAGTCAGTTATCCAGTTCTAATGTGTCGCAGATGGGACCCATGTATGCCCAAGCCCCTCCTCCTTTCTCTCAAAAATAATAGCGCCTTTCCTGAGTGGTTCTAAATGCATGCCACTGTGCAAAACCTGTGTAAAGCTTAGAAGGACGGGCACGGTTTGGTTGTTCCAATAAATGTACAAAATGTGATCTGGAACATCTCCCTGATCACACGGTGCTGCTGTTTCCCATACTTGTTTTGGCTTCCAAGTGGAGATCACGAGCGCAATGCCAGGTGATGCCACAGCCATCTGTGGCCACGAGTCCAAGAAAGCATAATTGGTCTCACTGTCTTTGGGTGGCTAGGATGGTCCTCCTTCTCCTCACATCACCTAGCCAATGCAGGCATCTGTTAACTGTGTTACTAAATTAGTAATTAGCAGTGTTTTCCAAGCACATTGAGCTGTCCAGTGACATTGCATTAGCAGCAGTTCAAAAAAAGGTGTGGTGGTGCTTCACATGTCTCGAGAGGAGGCATGTGCTAGCCTTCGTCCTGCCCAGTTGGTAACAACATGTGATGGGGAGACCTAGCTAATGGCTAATTAAACCCTAAACTTTTTAGCCTAATGATTTAAGTTTACATCGTAGAACAACAGCAGCTGGGGCATATAAATGTATATTTCCTGTGATGTCACAAGAACAAACTCATTTACATATATCCACCAGTTGAGCCTCCAGCAGTTTAGCTCTGCCCACTTATATTGAAGTTATAGTGAGTGATTCAGCCCTGAGTGCTTTTTGAGTGGGGGCACAATACAGGGCAGCTAATCAAAACAGAGCTCATTTATCTTATATCTGTCTAAAAGGCACAGTAACAATAAACAGTCTGGTCTCTGTAGGTTTCAATTAAAGTGAATAACTGACATGTCACAAAAAATGATCTAAATAAGACTGTGTAAAGCCAGAGTAGACTGATAAGTCAAAGTGATGATCAGTTATTAATCTCAGCTTTAATGAGCTCTGCTAAAGCCTGAGTGGACTGATAAATCAATGTGATTATCAGTTATTAATCTCAGTATTACTGAGCTCTGCTAAAGCCTGAGTAGACTGATAAACCAATGTGATGATCAGTTATTAATCTCAGTATTACTGAGCTCTGCTAAAGCCTTAGTAGACTGATAAACCAATGTGATTATCAGTTATTAATCTCAGTGTTACTAAACTCCTTTGAGGGATGATCAAACTGAACAGTCTCATTAGTAGTGGACGTTCATGAGTGATAAGCTTAGCATTAGTGTTGTACTGGACTTGTGCAGGTGCTTTGTGGCAAGTATTGTATCTGAACTGTAATGTACTGTAATGAAATGTGTTACTGAATACATTTAGGAAAATGTGTTCAGTATTCAGCCATCACTACTTTTTCGAAGTAACCTACAAAGCACCTAAGTTTACAAACTTTAAAAACACACTGCCAGGCTTTCTGAATACCTATACTAATTTACAGTCTAGCTGCAGTAGACGAACTGCAGTAGACGAACTGCAGTAGACGAACTGCAGTGATAGAGAAATGAAGCCTTTCTTCTTATAGACTCCATTCATTGTTCAGACTCCAAATACAGACTCAAGCAATTACAGTTTTTACAACTTGTTTGCTTTATTGTCATAAAGCTGTCATCATATGGTACAGCTGCAAAAAGTCATTAATACTGTGCAAGCCTCACTGGAGCAATCTAGACACTTGCATTTCCAGTGGTCCATTTCCAATAGTCTGGCTAGTGTCAGCTTGGATCATATTGTAGTGGTCACCGCTATTAGAGAAGACACAGCTTATGCACAGTTTGTTGTGCTTTATTAACAGGCTGAAGTTGGCTTCAGCCAGGACGTACATAAAGAGACTTACATCTGCCTCTCTCAGCACTCAGCTCTCACTCCTGTTCTTCCTGTCTCACAAATAAACAAATAGCCAGTGGGCCTTGCCTTACATAGACTTTATAGAAAACCCAGCAAATAAATGCTGTAGAACAATCACCCCAAAACTAACAGGAAAAACATTTCCCAAACCTGCTACAAAATGTTTTATTCATGCTAACCTTAGACTGATTAGAACATGACGATTGAACCTTACTCTTTACTTGATCATGTCTTAGCGAGACTAGCAGCATTTGGTGTGCATGTAAACAGATTGTGTGGTTACGGATGTGCTTTGTGAATCATTTTGATATTTCAGTATCCCTAAGAGTCAGTGAGGAACAAATTTCTAGATAACCACCTGGAAGAATACATCAATAGAAAGACTAACAACAAAAACTGCCAAAATGGGCAGAACTAACATAGGACTGCAGGCTTACTTTTAGATGATAGCACTGAAGGTTAAAAATTGGAAGCATTTTTTTTTTGATAATCACCGAGAGAAATTGGTAGATTTTTTTGGATGAGTAAAGGAAGCTGCCTCTTCAGAGAAGCTAATGAGCTAATGCTAACTTGTACAAGGTTGGATGCTGATGACTTTTATCTTTTATCCTTAGTGGGCAATGTGCCAAAATGTTAGTTTGTCACAGAAATACATGTTCATTGTTTCTGGGCCTAGTTTACATCAGCTAGAGTAGTTAGCAAAGGCCACACCAGAGGACCAGCCGTGCTATCTTTGCCATTTCAGCCACATCCTTAACAACACATCCTTGGCAAAGTGTAGCATTTGGCTCAGATAATGCACAAAAAAGGTCTTTTTTTGCTTTTCCTGGCTACTTGCAGCTTAAACAGCAAGCTGATTGGCTCTTTTTTTGAAGGGCAGGCCTTTCCTCCTAAACAGACCCCATAATAAGCCTTACAAGCTTTCCCATTAATTTTTCAACCAGTGACCTGCCTCCACCTTTATAACATCTCTGTTATGATATAACATACTTACTCACAAAACTGTCACATTTTACAGTCCTGTAAACATAAAATCTGTAGCCGGTATATTTTCTCTGTCTTCCCGAGATGAACCGTACAGTGACTTTAGTCTAGTGCCTGCTTCTACAGTATATTAAGCTGCTTAATATACTGTATGCTGCTTTCAAGTCATGTATAATGTCAGTAATATATTGCATTTATGCGATCAGTGCGCACAAACATGTACACAATGTAGTTACTAGTAGGCAACTTGAATTTTTCATTGAGCCGTGACTTTCGGTGTTGAGGCATGTCAACAAAACAGCAATAGTTGAACTGTTAACTGGATGTGTTTTAGTTATTCAGCAGCCGCACATAAACACTGCAGGCTACATTATTTTTTAATATCTTACTCACATCCACACACACACACACAAACACACACACACACCCACACACAAAAACCCCAAAAAGAGTGTATGCTATGAAATGATAGTAAATAGATAAAACATTACTCAGTGTGATGTGCATCCTCTGTAAAAGAAACCTACTCTCTTGGATGATAGAAAAAATACATTAAAAATAATACTACTAAAAAAAAATACATTATTCCCAGCGCATCCACCATGCTTCCGATCAAAAACACATATCACGTTGTACAACCTCTGAAGTCGTAAGGGGGAACTTCTGAGGAGGACTTTAAAGCAGTAACATCTATTGGGATTTTGTTAGTTGCATTGTGATTGGCTGTCTGTGTCAGTGTTTATGCATGTAGTGCACTGGCTTTTATCTTTCCAACGGGAAACAAACTTTAGCAAGCGGTTGCCTGCTCTGTGTGCTGGGACAAGTATTTTGGAGCAAAATCTAGTTGCTGGAAAAAGGTTATTCAAGACTTTCCTTTGAAGAATTTAGTTGCAAATAAATGAGATATCCCCAAATATGTGCCCGATGTTCATTTTTTGTTGTAGCCTGTTTAAAAGTCGACTGTCCCCACACATTGTGCATAAAAAATAGTCTGTCATTGCTTATATTGTATATCAGTCATGTGGCCTTTTCATGTCAAAGTAGGCGATTCTTGGTCACATTAAGCAATAAAACATACCAGATCTTCTAACGAGATTTCGGCTTCCAAAACTGACTTTAGACAGATCTTCTAGGTGAGTATTTAGTAATTCCAGCTGACGCATTAGTACAGCTACTGATTATTTAGTAGTGCCATAGCACAGCCACTTAACATCGCTGTCACAAAAAACCCTTACATCAGCAAAATGTAATTCTAAAGGAGAAGGACAAAAACGTTCTTATGTTGAAGCTACACTACGTAAGTTTCTTGTGGAAGCACCATGTGGAAGAACATTTTGTGCTTCAGACCCTTTCCCTAGCAGATCAATCTGATGTTTGCGAGCGCATTGCGAGAGTATCAAAACAGAACTCAGTCAAAACTTTGTGAAGGACGTGTCTTTAAGGATGTAAGTGAATGATCTACTATTGTCATCATATCTTCACCAGTATAATGTTGATTTTGAGACCTAAACAGATCTTTTTTTTTGAGTCTGTACGTGTGACGTTAATGTGTAAATACACATCACGTGGTCAGAAAAACTCCCGCCAAACCAGACCCAACACCTCTGACTTTTGAATTACTATTTCAGGCTTTACAGGGTGACCCAAAGCAGCACACACACACCATATATTGGCATGCTTTTTTCCTCCTGACTCAGTAATGCTACTTTTTTCATAGTGCTGCTTTAATGTAAAAAGACTTTATGTAAAATCACTTTGAAACATTTCTATTGGTCTATTTGTCGTGAAATGTTGTGTTTCCAGGCGGTGTACAGAAAATAAATGAAAAAAATAAGGTTTTGACATGGCAGCGACATATTTATTGCAGACGATTGCATGCCTCAATAACTCTTGGAGCGAGGTTTTTCAGGTGTTTCCTCTAAGACAACGTAATATGAGATCCTTTGAACAGAAAATGGAAAAGTAATGATCAGTCCTGCTAGACTGTACAGTAGAGCTCGGAAAATGTAATAGCACAACGATATTATATTGAGTTACACTAAGCAATTTTGCAGCACAATGGCAGGAATGAGTGTTTTGGCAGAAGCCGCTGGC